ATCAAAGCCTTGAGATAGAACTGCAGGTTGGTTATATTTGGTGCAAGAAGAAGAAGAGTGCAGCAGGGTACGATATGGAGCATAATCAGGGATGACAAATGGCTTGTGGAGAGGATGCAGTATATAAAAAAAGAAAAAGGCGACTAGGGACAGATAGAGAGAGAGAGAGAGAGAGAGAGAGAGAGAGAGAGAGAGAGAGAAAGTTAATAAGATGAGGCCAGGAGGGAAACAACTCTGCAGCTTCTCTTTGCTGCAGAACCCCTGCTGTGAACTCTGAGGTCCACTGTGGTCCTCTCTGATGAGGAAGTACTTTATCTGAAAGGCTGCAGGTTGTCCCAAATCCTTGTCGTCCATTTCTTACAAAATCATGTGGACACACGTTTCCATTGCAAATAAAAATAATGTTGCTTAATCACATCATCACATCTGATGAACATATTAGAGACTTGAGGAACTTGCTGGTCCACTATTAGTTAAGCTACAGTTAAATACAGAAAGCTTTTTCCTTCTACTTCTTGGTACTTTAAATGCTAAAATAAATCTTCTTGGTGCAGGAGCCTGGGAGCCACAATACCCCAGTCAGTTTAAAATAGCCCCGAGAGACACTATTAGCTCAGCATAAGGTGGCACATACCTGGGGCTGTGCTGTGAAGATACTGTGCATCAAGTGTTAAGTTCTTCAAGCTTGCAGATATTAATGACGTTCTGTTTGCGTGCATGACAGGATGTAACTTGTATGTGACTTATTGTATGCAAAAGAAGTATGATTGTATGTACACACATGTACCAACGTGGCTGTAGGAGAGCTCATGGGGGTTGCACAGGCAGAAATCACATATGGGAGACTTACTCCAGTGTTTCCCTGAATTGATCTACAGCTAATTGCCAATGAGTTGAAATACAGACAACACTACAGACGCTTTCCCTGATTAGCATTAATCAATAGATAAAGGTGCAAAACCCTTGAACAGTTAACATTTGGGGCAAAAGAACACAGAGGCACTGATGTATGCAAACTGTCCAACGGTCCTGCAGCAAGAAATGGCTTGTCCCCAGTGCCACGTGCAGAGAGTAAGCTCCATCTCCAGCCTGCTGTCAGCGCCTCGCTGTTGCTACAGCTGCTGCTGCAGGCTGTGTGTGCACATCTGTGTCTCAGTGCGTGTGTTTGTAAGTGTGTGTATTAGTGTCCAGATTTTAAGTCGCACAAAATGTCATATCAAGAGCAAACACCCCCACTGTGGGGTCACTGCCAAATCCTGAGCAATCTCCCTCTCACACACTTGCATGTTTGTGCACATATTCTCTCACCACCTCACTCTCTCTCTTTTTAGTCAAATAACTAATGCCACAAAAAATAAAAACTCCCCACCCCGGCTCGCTATCACAGCATGCATTGCAACAAACATACACCCAACAGAGCAGCCTGGTTTGCGACCCATAAACTCTTTGACACTCACTTCCACTGACCTCAACTTTACAGCACATCACACAAGATGTTACTGTAAAATTATACTTATATTTATTTTCATACTCCCATTGTTTCCATCCCAAAATACACTCAAATAGAATCACTCAAGATAAATTGTATGTAGTTTATGCAAGGATCCTGATGACCCATTTATATCTTATAACTTAATGAATATATCTTGAAAACCTTGCTGATTAAAATCCTAACATTGTAACATTTCTGTCAGGCTACCATGGCATCTGACCGGCCTTGCTATGTCTCTAACGGTTAAATTAAAGGTCACACATTATGCAAAATATTAACCACTTTTTTCTAACTCTAATATGTGTCTCTAGTCCATCTACAAACCCCAACATATGAGAAAAGTCCATCCTCTCCGTCTTTTGCCTGCTCCACTTATCAGAAAAGGGGTGCTCGAACAAGCCTCCCACAGCTAGGTGTTTGTTCTGCCCTCTGAGTCTGCCTCCTCACAGTAAACAATAGGACATGGAGCGAGAAAGCCCAAGCCATCCAAGCCCTTTTACAGGGGCGTGGTCAGACACAGCTCATTTACATATTTAAAGGTACAGATGCAGAAACAGCCTGTTCTGAGCAGGGCTGAAATAGAGGTTTATAGACATGATCAAATACAGGATCAGAGTGGATTTAAAACAAGAAACTTCATGTTTTTGGGAGCTTAGAGACTTACTGAAACTTGTTGAAAAGGAGTATAATATGTGACCTTTGAGTAAGCCTGGATGATAAAACGGTAACTATGGCGATATAATTGATAACCTGTAATTACACCACCCGACCACCCGACCACTAGGAAATGGATGGCGCTAATGCGCCTTGTACGCTAGTTGCCACCCAATATTAAAGAGAAGAAGAAAAAGAGGACGAACAGCCAATCATGTAGCAGGGATAAGGGTAGGCGGGCTTACAGACGTTTGGACTGGAATGGAAACAGCCAAAATGAGCGATAGCGACACTGAAGAAAACACTGAGCCTACCAGATTAAAGCAGGAGAAAACATGGTCGACAAGACGACAAGAAAGGCAGCTCAACTTCGGATTTTGGAGAGATTTAGAATATCTACAGTCCAAAGAAATACGAGCCACATGCTCTGTTAACTGTGCCAAAGACAAGTGCAGCACAACAACACACCAATATGAGCCGTTAAAAACACACTGAAGGAAAGACATCACCAAACGTGCCAAAGTGGACCACATTGTAAATAATATAAACAGTCTATGGTGTGGACCCCCAGCAGCTAACCGTGCACTGAGCTAATGATGGTTAAATGTCCCTTTAATTATAGTTTGTCATGTTCTGAAAATAAAGAATGATAAACCATAATGAACCACCTGGTTTCTTCAACTTTCACTCAGGAGCAAAAATCAGCTTTTAAATGAAACGAATGAAAGAAATAATGATTGACAATTGTCGTGATAATTATCGATATCGACTGATGTGAAATTTTTTCATGATGATAACTTTTTTAGTCACATGGCACAGACCTTTGAGGACTCTTTTCTGTTGTCGGCTGGAATAACACATGCTTAAATATTGAATTATTAACATTGTTATCGACAGACCTTATCATAACAGTATGTGCTTCATTGCTACTTTTAACTACTTTGTAAAATCATTTCAACCTGTGTGTGATAAATTTGCATCACCTTTTCATTCATTTGCTGAATGTTGGAAGGCAAAGAGGATCATCATTATCATTATCATCATCATCATCATCTGTCTTTTATTTTTCCATTCAATAAGAAGTCAATATATGAAGGTGAGAAACCAATGGAAACAGTAAGGACTAAAAGAATCATTGTCCAGTACGATCAAGTATAAGAGCGCTCTGAGGTACTTAACCCACCCAGATAAATAAGCCGCTATATCCAGCTTCAGTGAGTGCTTTAACACGCAGGACAACAAATGTGCTGATTGAGATATTGATTAATGGAATGACCTCTAGGTCGAGCCATTTTGCCGACGTAGCAGATCATCTCTAAGAGAGCAGAATGCATCTATTATGATGAAAGAATTGGATTTTAGCTCATTGATTAATCTAGGTAGGGACTAATATATTTTTATAATCATGTTAGTCTACTTTCTTTCCTTTTAAAAACACTGTGAATACAAGCTTTTGGATAATTCTCATAGTTATAACAAACACATTATTGATTAGCATACTGTCATTTTTGTTTTTTTTAAGGGAGCCAAATCAGGGAAATACACAAACATGCTGTTATATAAGCGGACAGCATGGCATGCACATCACACTATACTCAGCTAGCCAGCCCAGCCTACCTCACAATGTAGGACTGTGAGATGCTCACAGATGGCTGTTCACTGTTCTAGTAACCTGTGTCTATCAGGGTGCTGCAAACAGATGAAGTGACCGAGGTGTCTGTGTGTGACAGAATGATAAAGAGACCCCACACAAGCAGGAAGACGCATTGACTGACACACACATATAGTATGCACTCCATCTGATTGTTCCTATGAAGCCCTGAGAGGAAACTCTAAAAGCATCAGTCTTTAAAAGAGACAGCAGGATTAAGCACACAATTTGAGAGGATGTGAAAAAAAGAAGAGGGGCAGAGAAGAGAGGGATGTAAAATGAGAAGATGACACAGACGAAAATAGAGAGAATGAGACAGACGTGAGGGAAAAGAATAAGGTCCTCATGAAAGTGAGACGGAAGGAAGGAAGCGGGACGCACGTTGCTGAAACTGCTCCCCCTGTGTTTTTTTTTTTTCTTCCTGCAGTGCTCTGTAATTCGTCTCTAAAAATATCAGGCAAAAAAGGAGGCGGAGCATAAACAAACACAAGGGGGAGGAGAGGAGAGGGAGGATGGAAAAGGGAGCAGAGAGAGAGAGAGAGAGTGCATAATGTAGCGAAACAGGTTTGAAAAAAGAAAGTGAGAGGAAGAGAGGCCACCTGGACGTGGATCTGTTTGTCCATGTGATGAGATAAAAGTGAGGGGAGACGGTGGTGAGAGTGAAAGAGCCGGGGAGAGAGGCAAGAGGCAGCATGTGCCTGCTCTTTTTCCAGGCAGCCACGTGAGTGCTTCTCCTCAGCTGCTCCGCTCACACTGAGCCCGCCAGAGGGGAGCAGAGCAGGGTCGCCACAGTCACAGGGAAAAAACACAAAACACGCACAGCCCATACCAGCTGCACACTGGACACACTGGTCACACTGGTCACAGCGTAGGGGGCTCGCACCTGCATAACTAACTTGCTATGGAGATTTACATAATCACACAGAAATGCATTGGTGGAGATGGACTCATAACCTGAATACTATTTAATGAGATCTTTTGAAAGAAAACAATTATATGCAGCATGTTCAGCCTATGCAGTCTTTAAAATCATGTTGCCATTTAAGCAACAGTCCCAACGCAATACCAGCAAATGATGACATACATACAGCCCCCTGGCTAAGTTGAGCTATGCATGACAGCCAGAGTTTAATAGAAAAACAGGTTGGTGTTTTTTGTGTGTGAACTATATGGAACCAAGGATTACTCTGTGTGCAGCCTTACCAGGCGAGCTTGAAGCCTTTCATTAGTACAGCGAGGAGTGTCTGATGTCCATAGCGTGTTGTGGGCACTGGGCTGCCCGTTCACACCGCCGCATGCTGACTGACAGCCTGCCAAAGCTTCACCTCCCATACACAGAGCAGGAGAGATGCACGCAGGGGAAGAAGGACGGTTTGGGGACCAACGTCCTGAAGGATGATCCACGGCTCTGTCCACCTTTCTGCTACATTCCTTTAGCCTCTGTGTGGATGCCGCAGTGCTGAGCAATTGTGCCAGAAATTCACACCTCCCTGGGGGTCCTTCGGTTTTCCCAAGAGAGAAGGAGGTGATCCGCGCTGCAATGTTCGCAGTGCAAACTGCAGCATGCAGCAGAGGCAGCAAGGACTATAGCAACTGAAAATAAATGCCAAAATGGCTGGCCGCCTTTTTTTTTTTTTTTTTTTCTTCCAACTCTGTCTTTCCTATCACGCTCTCCCACTGCCCCTTAGAGCCACTGTTTGCTCGCTCAAACTCTACCGCCTCTCCCTCAGTCTCTGCTGCGGATGAAAGCTGCACTTGCTGCGCTCACAGTGAGCAGGCGCAGAATCATAACCCCCCTCCCTCCCTCCCTCCTTTCCTTTCTCCCCTCCTGTGTTCTCTCTATCCTCTTCCCTAGATGGCTCTCTTTCTCTATTTCTCTCAACAAGATAAGCCTAGTTGGCCCAGTGTGCAGGGCTAGAGCAGGACAGGAGCCTCTGAGCACTGACCCCCATCTCATCCCAACCCCCACCTCCACCCTCCATGATATGCTTGAGAAGGGTATTAAAAGGGGGAACCTGCTGCCGTTCTTTCCTCTTGTATTGGATGCGGTGTCAGCAGCTAACCCTGTTAATCTCTTAATGCATTGAGCGTGCTGGGGTACTCCCCATGTTTATCGCTGTGTGCTGTGTATGTGTTCTGCATGAATAAGATGGATATCATGGTGACTCAGCTTGCTTAGTTGGCTACTGTTTTTTTTAACTGCATAACTGCATTAACATGAATTTAAAACTAACTTGGCCTCATTTGTCTAATTAGCTGGAAGAGCAGGCAACAGCAGGCAAATTTCACATTTATTCCCCACATACTGCAACAGTATGCATCGGTACAGTACCTAATAACAGATATACTCTGCATCTGAAAGCATTTTCCCAGCCATTGCAGTGCTCCACCTCTTTCTTTCCAAAACACAAATCACAAAATGTCTCATCTCCTTTTTTATTGCTGTATTTTGTGTCACTTCTTAATGTTTCAGTATGAAACAATACATGTTGCTCCTGTTATTTCCATCTCCATCTATATTAAAAAAGGAAATAATCTTTAGAAAAGATAAAGGGGTAATAATGAATTTGAAGTGTCTAAAAATGTAAATTCTGGTTGCCATTTTTTTGTTCTGGATTTTGAAAATTTAAAAAGACCAAGTACTTTGAGTTTTTCTGTTGTATCTTTCATCACAAGAGTTACACTGATTTACACAAGTCTAGGATATAGATTGAACTCTGTGTCTGTGTGTTTTAATGGAATCTGCAAAAGTGAGGATGTCCAGCCAGACAAGACTTCCAGTGAGGTTAGAAAAACACCTGAATAGGTCTGGAAACACTACATTAGATATACTGGAGAAACAATAGCACCTCTGATCTTTCTTTAACTCTCCCGCAAATCTAAACAAACTTACCCTACGTAGTCTTGGTTGCCAAACTAATAGCTTTTAAATCTCAGTTTTTGGGGCTTGTCATGGAATGTTGGCCTCAGAATAAGGCCAATGCTGGCCGGCTAAAGCCGTCAAAATCTAAATGCTTGCAGGTGTCAAATTGACCCACTAAGCCCACTGCCCAATTTAATTGCAGACAGTATTGTGCACTATTTGAGAGGGAAACGTTTGACAGGGTCTGTTTTTATTTTGATTAAAGACAGTAGGCAGTTTTAAAGCACCCCCCACATGGCCGTTTTGGACAAACCCGCGCTTTGCCAGGCAACCTGCAAACCCACAGGTGTTTCAGTGATGGAAGCGGGCAAAGCGAACTGGCTCAGATAGAAGCCTTTTTCTAATAAGCTCCACGACCTGAAACGTGGAAAACTAGGATAAATATTGGAGATCATTTTGGAGAGAGGTAAGAGTGTTTCTAGACCGATGCAGAGCTAGCTAAACACTGAAGCTGCTGTGGAAAAATCCCTGTGAGCGTCGACTCAAGGGAGGAGGGGTCTGCAGTATCATTTTAAACGCTATGAGTTACATAATGCTCCTTTAACAATGAGAACAATAGTCAGAATCAAACATGATGTAAACTCGTCTACACTACACTTGTAGTGGTTTAACCTTCATCTTATCTTAGCCACAAGTGGTTAATCTTTCCACTCCCAACAAACCCCACAGACCACAAAAGGTCAGAGAGCAAACCCTCCATTCACTTTCAAATAAGTTAGCATCAGAAACGTTAGCCAACATGACCACAGGCACTGGGTCAGAGTGCAGCACATTCTCTCTGTTTAATCTCCTTAAAGCCCTGCACGTTACAAATTACACCTCATTAGGGATGGCTTATAGTACCACTAATGCAAACCGCTCAGCACCATCAAAACAGACATTCTGGTTGACCTGCCAACATACACACAAATGCAAGCACGCATGCTCCAAAGATTGCAATATCTTGAAATAATATTTCATTGTTTGAATTAAAATTTTGTCTCTAATTAATAAAAAAAAAGGTTTGATTTGATTTGATTTAGTTTTTACTGGAAATCCCAAAAACAAAATAGTCCTGCACAAAAGAAAGTTGTTGCTGCTTTAAGCAGAGACTGCTGAGTCACTAAGCTCCATTCACTCACTCTTCTTTATTCTGATGCAGATGGTGCAAGGACAGAGCCAGTACGTGACTGAGTGATGCAGAGGGAAACAACCAAAAGGATGATAGCACTCAGACGATGCAGGCAAGTTTGGCCTCTTGTTCTGAGAGACCCACCCTGCCCTTCACATATACCAGGTTTAAGGTGGGTTTTAAAGGATCAGTAACCAGTTCCAAGTTCACACCTGATTCTGCTTTGTGTACAGTGACATCTTAGAAAAATGACATGTTAAATCTATTTTTCAAAGACTTAGCTTAAAAAACCCTCAAATTAAATCCATTCAGACCTTACAGTGTATTGAAAAGCCTAACAATACAGCAGAACACATGTTGCAGTCTTGAGACAGAATATGTTGTCTCTAAATGTTCTTTATCTGTCCTTACAATTGTATGAAAGTTTAACAGAATAATTTTACATTTTAAGATTAGAATATAAAGAAGTCTCCAAGTTTGCATTATTTGGTGTCTGGCCACTTCAAGTGACAGATGGATGCTGCTAGCTGTCTACCTAAATGTCATCTTTTCTATTTCAGTCACTACACTTGTTGCAGTGTTTGTTTTGTTACTGCCTTTTGGGCATTTGTTTATGCAAATATTGGACAAATAACACGGCTGGCCGTGTGGTTTATTTTAGAAACTGTTCTTCAGCATTTACAGTTCGTGAAAAGGGAGTATTACGTTGATTAAATATCAGCAATATTTAGCAGTTTTGGCTTTACCACATCAGGCTTGTTGGCTTGATGAGTGTTAATCAGACATTCATTTATTTGTGGTGGCTAGTTCCTGGTTGTCAGACATGGCCCCTTGCAATTGACAGTTGGATACCTATAGCTGTATGCAAATTATCTGATAAGTCAGTCACTAAACTTGTTTGTGTTGTTGATGCCTTTTAGGGATTTTTTTGGAGGCAAATATTTGAAAATCAACAGCTGTACATTTTCCAAAATGGTGCTTTCTGTAACTAAAAGCTGACCAAGAAGTCTTTGCTTCAGCTTTTTTACTGAGAGCAGAGTGACTGAAATTTTTATTTATTTATTATTTTCTTAAAATGTTCACAGTAATTAACAGGTATCCGTTGCTCCAAACATATGGCTTGTTAATTTATTCCGTGCTAAGTATACATTGAGTAATTTGTGGCGGTGATGGGAGTCGGATTAGTTTGTGCCAGTCAGCCTTTGCTCACTTTCCCACCTGAGAAATGGCCAAGCTGGCTGAAGTCCAGCTCTCTTACTATAGCTTTCTAAAAACACACCTCCAGTCAGCAACAAGCACATACAGAATCCCATTCTGAAATATGATGGTTAACTAACTTGTTTGCAACCTAATTCACTCACTCTTCCCCTTCTTACAAAAATACTTCTGGCTCTAGAGAACAAGCAGACAGCCAAAATGCAAATCTAAGAGCACAAAATAAGAATACAGTAAGTGTGTTGGGTAGTACAAAGTGCGCTTTAGTAGGGACAAATGACTGAAAAAACAACAGTGGACCAGCTAACTCGGTTTGGTAGTGGAGCGGTCTCTGAAGCGGTTACTTGTGTGGGACAGGGCATTCAAGTACTGCACAGGTGTGCCTGTAACCGCTTCAGAGACCGCTAAACTACCAAACTGTCGGTCTACTGTTGTTTATTCAGCTCAAAATAACAGTTGACAAACCTATGGCTGATGTCACTGTGGCTGTGTCAATCGTTTATGTTCATCTATAGGAATTTTATAAAATATCTAATCCTGGTTTCCTTTCAACAGAAATGAAAGCACTAGTAATATTGCACAAACTTTCTGATGTGATAGTTTGTTACACGAAGAAACAAATACTGATGGAACAATGCTTGTTAGTTGAACATATTTTTAAACGCTGTGAGAATGTGACCATGATTTAGCAATGGTTCTTCATTTTGTAGCCAGGAGAATGTTTCTTATGCATTATGTTTTTATATTTGCACATGTGTATCTTGGGCTACAGAGGGCTCAATACAACGATCTTCTACCAGCAATCAATGGCCGTCAGCTGCAACACCTCAGCTCATAACAACAAACTGTGATTACTTTTTTATGAGAACCTTTTACAACAGGAGGGTTTATTTAACATGCACCATAGGGCTAGCATGAAGACACTTTTTCTCTTTTGTTAGGCAGAGCTGTGCATCCCCGGGGGATACAGTGAATGCAGCAAGACTGCAGGAGGAGAAAAACAAAGAAAGGAGGCAAAGATATAGAGCATTCCTATCTCGTCTCAGTGTGTTGAACGGTGGGAGCCGTTACCAGAGCGTCAGTCAAGCAAGAGGGCATTAAGTCATTTCACACAGTGTCCATCTGGTCCAAACCTAGACATGGCTTCCTTGCAATGTGATGAAGAAACAACAACACTATCTGCATGCATTGTTAATTTTTTTGTCATTTAAACTGTATTCAATCAATGTATAAATGAAAGGGGTTGTAGACATTTTATCATTTTTCACATCTCTGAAAAATGCTAGTACAATACCTTTTTCCATTTGGTGCGAGAACATTCATTACAAAACATTTCCAGCACTTCAAATTGTTGTCATATAATGCCAAGCGAGAACAATGATGACTGGTATACCATAGAAAGCAATCAGAAGTTTGTGAACCTCAGTTTTAAAACATAGAGGTTTGTTCCTTGTTGCATTTTAGCTGAAAAAAAG